CAAAAAATTTGTTTAACACTTAATTATAACGACTCGGTCGATCTTTACCTAAAACTAATCAGTATCAATCCCAACCAATATCTTTCGAACAGTTTTTAATTTTTTAAAACCAATTCAGGATTGTGTTACAATTTTATGCAAATTACAAAGAAACGGCTCAAACGATAGTGGCACAAAACTAAGAAACGATAATCCCCATCGAGATACATCGAATAATTTAGCACCCAATAATTCTATTCAATTGTTTGAATTAGAGATCAAGTTTGAGAAAACAAGAAAAAATTTATTTACATTTTATATAAGTAATGTATAAATTTTTATAGAACACAAAATATTTAGAAAGATTTACATTTCCAAACCCGAATTTTAAAAAAATTTACAATTTCCTCCTTCAATATTGCTTTGAAAATTTTGCTTTAGATTTTTTGAAGTGGTATAAGCGTGTGAGTTATGTAAATAGAATATATATATATATTTTTATTATTACACCGGACTAATGAATAAAAATAAATTGTAATATAATAGAAAATAACTTAAAAATATCTTGTGATAACCATGAACTATTAAACAACACCACATTTTAATGATGCGTAATGATGCATAAATAAAAGCAATACAATTGCATAATTACATGAAATAATTTAAAATGTTCGTTTCTATTTAGAATCTAAATTTTAATTACATAAAAATGTCTCAGGTATATATAAATGATACACTACCAAAAATTGGTTAATTATAATGATTAAATAAAAAAATTAAGCTATGTAATATTACTCTTTTTTAAGATAAGAGATTGATAGAATATTACTTTTAATTTTGTTTTTAATTCAAATTATTATTATTACAGGATCAGATCCCTGTTGAAGTATGCATACTCGATTGGCAATTTTCTCGTTATTCTTCACCAGTAACAGATCTCTCGTTCTTCTTTTATACTAGTGCTGAACAAGAACTACTTTTTCAACATTTTGACAATCTTATCGAAGAATATATAGAACATTTGCATAATACAATTAAATTACTAGGAAGTGATCCAAATGAGATTTATCCTCGGAAGCAATTTCAAAAAGATCTCGAAAGATATTTTAAATATGGTCTCATAAGTTGTTGCCATGTTTTTAAATTTGTTCTCTCTAAACCGGACGAAGCACCAGATATGCAAAAATTGGCCTTGTCGAATAGCAGAGAGTCATTAGAAGAGCAATTCCAATTTATTGATCCTGGTACTAAAATTGAATATGCCAGAAGAATCAGGAATATTGTGAAGCATGCATCTGATAGAAATTTTATATAAATATGTTTAGTTATTTTGTTAATAGAGAAGTTATGAATCAACATCAAAATATTATTTTATATTTATTTTCTTATTCAGTTTAATGTCAATGGAATTATGATCAATTATTTCCATTAGACCAAATACAAAGCCTAAACTTTTTTTTAAGATTTTTTTTGAAGGGATTGAAATTATTTCATGAATTTTAAAAAATAATTATTGTTTATATCATGAATATAATTGCAACTGTGTCAATTTCAATTCAATTGCATTTTTTTGTGTTGTGGACAAAAATGGTATACTTATTAATAAAATTTATATATTAAATAATTTGCCATTCTTTCATTATATAGTCATTTTTGACCTCTGACTATTTTTTGTAATTAATAACCCTAATTAATTCAATCAAAGGGCAAAGACAATGTTTATTTTGAAAATTTTATAATAATATATTAATATCCATAATATTTTGAAAATTTTATAATAATAATATCCGATAAGTTTGCAACATCAAATACTTGAAATTCAACAAATTTCACTAATTGCTAATGGTTTTAGGACAAAAATGATGTACGAGAAGGATCAAATGAGTACGGTTTGACGGTTCTTGAGTGAAAAGTAAATTGTGAATGTAAATTTTATAACAATTATGAAATAGTTCTATATTGAACATGTCAATTGCCAACTACTCATTTTTTGCCTCCAAAGTGACGATTTTAATGGCTTTCCTCGATGACTCCGAAACAAGTTGACCAATCTCTCACAAAAAGCAACCAACTCAGTTCTCTTTCCCCTTAAGGGGGTATTCTACTGTAGAAGCATGAATTTTGCCCGGTTTTTGAAGCGCTGTATAAAGGAAACAAATAATATTTTTACTATCAATTTTTTTATCATTTGTTTATTGATATTTTATTATTACATAAAAAAAATTATTAAAGAAAAAAAATTAGAATTCACAAAGTTATGAGCAGTCAAAGTGGGGGCTCAAAAAAAAAGAGGGTGTCCTGGCGTGCATGATTCCAACCCTCCTGGTGATCCGAAACATAAAAAAAATGGATTTTTAATTATTATAGATGGCGCTATCGTATGAACCTTGGATAAGTTAAAAGAAAAAAGTTTGTTTGAATGGCGGCCGTTTGAAAATAAAATTTTTTTTTTCATGTTTTTTTTAACAATTCCGATTTTTTTAAAAATACTAAATGAAAAATTATAGTTTTGGGAAAGGTCCATGCCGTAAAGCGATGTATAGAGAAGATCCTCTCCAAATTTGAAGTAAATCGGTTCATTAGAACTCGAGATATCCTTACCGCCAGCTTGAAAAAAGTAGTTCCGAGGAAAACGCGTTCAAAGTTTTGAGACTCGGTCGCACCCAAACCGAGGCCACGTCACTAAAACCGATATAACTCAGGAAATAATAGTAATTTTGAAAAATCCTTTTGATGACATATTTTTGAATAACTAAACTTTGAAAATATGAAAAAAAATATTTTTCGATTTTTTCAAAATTCTACAGTAGAATACCCCCTTAGAAGTAGATCTATAAATATACAAACACAGGCAAACAGTTTCATGTTTCCAATAAAGTATTTTGATAAGGCATAATGATCCAAAGATATCAACGAAATGGTATCAAGAAATTATCGTCCTGGATTTTTATTAACATTTGCAAGTTTATGAACCCGACACAATTTTTATATCACATTATTGATTTTATTCACATATATAGTTGCAGATTCTTTATTAACTTCCCATAGGGTAAGTTATTGTAATCGTCCAAAAATAGAAATTTAAAATTTTTACATTTTTTCACGTTTCGAAGGTTTCTGAACATTTTGGCATATCTAAGAAAAAATGGATGTGTGTGTGTGTATGTATGGATACAATTTTTCGTTTTCGGGCGCACGGATCAACCGATTTGAATGTTTCTAAAAACATTCGATTTCTATTGGTAGGGAGATGTGCTGATTAAGTTTTGCAAAGGTAGGTTCAGCCGTTTCGGAGATACGAAGCAAAGGATGCAGAAAATAGAAACGAGTTTTTGAGAGATCGGAGCATCGGATTTGAATGATCCAAAAAAACGTTCAATTTGTAATGATGGGGAGAAGTGGTGGTTAGTTTTTAGCAAAGGCAGGTCCAGCGGTTTCGGAGATACAGAGCTAAATGTGCAAAAAATGGAAGTTTTAGAGAGAGCTAAGCGTCCGATTTGAATGATTTAAAGAACTTTCTGCTTGTTGTAACAAAATAATTGCTTTTTTTTTTAAAAATGTTTTAATTTCAATTTTTTCAATTTTTTTTTTTCAATTTTTTTTTTGTAAACCGAAAATAATTCAGATCTCAATTGTAATTCTGACTTAATTTCTAATATATTTTAAACAAATATTTTCAACTTTGCAATTCAGTTTATATAATTCTTATAAATTTAGATAATGTTGCAGTATTTATTTAATCTATTTGAAAACATTTAATATTCTAATAAAAACTGATCACCACTTCTCCCCATCATTGCAATTGAATGTTCTTCCCTGATGTTCCGCGCTTTCAAAAACTCGATTCTTATCTGCGAAATGGTTGGATCTGTCTTTACCAAAAACTAATCAGCGCGTCTCCCCATCAGTAAGAATCAGTACCAATATCCTTTGAATTTTTAAATCGGTTGATCTGTGCGCCCGAAATCGTTGACAAAAATTGAATTCATACATATACATACACACACACCCGTTAATTTTTTCTAAGGTATGCCAAAATGTTCAGAAATATCTGAAATATGAAGATATGCACAAATTTTCAATTTCGATTTTTGGACCTTTCAATAACTTATCCTATGGAAAGTTAATATACGTGTTCAAACAACGTGACATTAAGCAAACAGAAAAATTGATAATAATATTGTCTTAGTAATACATTTATCTCTATATAATTTACAATATATGTGTTTGCAAATATGCACATAACTTAAAAACTATTCCACTTTGATTTGATATCAGTGATAAACCAGTACTTGACAAACCAATTCATGGAACGACATGTCTAAATTACATACCTTTTACAACACGTTGAGCAAAATGATTCAGCACAACGGAGCCTGATGAGAATTATTTAGTTGACTGACAATGATAGTAATTCATCAAGCGTTTAAATAAAAATAGCCTTGAAAAGGAACATATGAGTACTATCATATTTATATTTCAACAGTCAACTTTAAAAGTCAAACTGTAAGAGTGACTGTGAAAATAAACAGATAATCTCTTAAAATTAAAGTACAAAGTCTCAAAAAATTATACTACCACTATATAGAGAACTGTGAGAGTGAATAGATAATCTACCGAAAGTGAAGCAAAAAGTATTAAAAGATTCATACTACTGCTATATAGTGAATTGTAAGAGTGAATATATAACCTACTAAAAGTGAAGCAAAAAGTCTTAAAAATGTTTATTGTAGATTAATAAATTACATTTAAAGTTTAATATATCCACAGTAATTAAAGTAAATGGCGTTATATTTTTTTTTAAATGGTTAAAACCTAAAAGACGTCAAGACTGGTTTTGAAAGTTTAGTTGAACAAACAAAACTTTTATAATTGGTAGTTAATAAAGATTTAATCTAAGCATATTATAAAAATTTATACCATCATAATATTACAGAGTTTGTCTGTTTTACGTGTAATATATGAAAACAAAACTTAAACAAATACTACATAAAAATTAACAGTTTTCCATATTTTTTAACATGGAAGAATTTTCAGAACATGTGCAGGTAGCTCTGAAGCAATTAATAGCTAAAAGTGGCATCAATAATTATGAAGTTAAATTATCACCAGCTTCTAAAAAGGAGATAATTATTTAGGCACTTTATATAGAGTTGAAATTATTAGTACGGATAACGATAATGGCACCAAGTTAAATTTAATTTGTAAAATTCCATCATCTGATTGGGGCTCCGAAGACAACTGGCAAAAAATTCATATACCATATGAAAGGGAGGTGTATGTTTATAACGTGATCTTAAAAAGTTTTGAAAAATTACAAAATGACAAAAACTTAAATGAAAATCAAAAGTTCGCTTCATATGCATTGTGTCATGTTGCCAGCGATGTAAATAAGAAAGAATTTTTGATTTTGGAAGATTTGCACGCCAGAAATTTTGTAATGTTTGACAAAAGAAAAAAAATGGATTTTTCTCACATAACGTTAGTTGCAAAAGGATTAGCTAAATATCATGCATTAAGTTTTGTCATGAGAGATCAACAGCCTGAAAAATTCCATAAAATACTCAAATCGACTCAGCCATGTATGATATGACCGGTAGAGAAGCCTTTTACGATTTATGCGATTTTGGACTGAAACAAGCCTTGGAAGCAATAGATGACGGCGGTATCACAGAATTTTATGCAAATGTGAAAAAAATCAAAGATAATTGCGAGCAATATATGGAAAGTTGTTTCAATGCAACGGGCTCTGAAATTATAGAGTTCTTTCACATGGAGATTGTTGGAATAATAATATGATGTTTAAATATCAGGTATGATATAATTTAATTTGTATTGTTATTACTTTAACTCTTCAAATTAAAAGCTTGAAATATTTTTTAGAAAGGGTTTTAAACAATTCAACAATGACATTAATAAAAAACTTAAATTCAAATGGTTAAAATGGCTGATATATGTAACTTATTTCTTTGCAGTAAATGATCTTTTCATATTTTTACACAATTCGAATGGAATCTTTGTGGTAGTATAGAGTGTGGCTTAAAGGCCAGCGGGTAAAAAGGTCTACCGCCAATATCTCAAAAACAAGTGAAGTTAGGAATTGTTTATTTCAAAATAAAGTTATCGCTTATATTATATTAATTATATTGCACAGACACGTGTTTGTATGCACTTAAATTGTAGCTCATTATTTTAAATTTTAATGAATTGATAATGTTTGACTCATCACATCGCAAAAGCAACTTTTGACACATGTATCTTTGATAAATTTTTAGCATTAAACTATTTGTCGTAGGGCCGTAATATTTTAGTATGTTTTATAAGACCATGGTATATATTTCCAAAAAAAGGTTCATAAAATATTTTTTTCAACAGATAATTTCAAGAAAACGCCTCGGTAGATTTTTACCTAAAACTAATCAGTATCATTCTCATCCAATATCTTTCAAAAAGTTTTTGCCGATTGTCGCATAAGACTGAGAAAAGATAATCTACATCAAAATACATCGATTGGCTTTCAAATTTTTGAAATCGGTTCAGGCGTTTTTGAGCAAACGCCGATGAAAGTTATAATTTTGACAAACGCCAAAAAACAATACTAATTTTTGTATACTTTGACGAATTTGTAAAATTAAACGACTAAATTAAACGGGCCGTAGTATTTTAGTATGATCTATAAGACTATGGTTACTACCGTGAAAAAATATTCATAAAAATCGCGGATTTTTTTTTAACACTTTATTACAAGAAAACGGCTCGGCTGATCTTTACCAAAAACTAATCAGGTCGATTCCCAAGCAATATCTTTCGAACGGTTTTTGAATTTTCAAAATCGATTCAAAATTGCGGGCTAAAACGTGGACGAATTTTTTTTCATTTTTCTACGATTTACCAAGAAACGGCTCGGCCGATCGTCGAGTGAAATTGAAAAACGATAGTTCTCATCGAGATACATCAAATGGCTTCCATAATTTTGAAATCGGTCCAGCGTTCTTGAGAAAACGTCTATTTACGGAGAAAATCTGTTCACACACACACACATACTTCTTCCAAATTTGGTCTCATTCGATTCAGAATTGCTTGAAACGACAAGAAAACATAAAATTAGCGAATCTGATTTTTTTGATAAGAACATAAACTTCTTATCCGGGAAGTTAAATAATTTAATAATACATTAAATATGTTTACCCCATGGCTGTCACATCCTACGCCTATGAGGTAAAAGGGACAGATGACAAAGTGTAGAAAAATAGTGAAATAACACATTTTTAAATACATAATTAAAAATTAATTAAAAATTTTACGGGGCATAGTTCGATACTTGTTAGTTTGACATGTGTTATGCGTTGTGAAGTAGTTTATTTGATCTATTGCTTCTATAACTTTTATCGAAAATACTTTTAAGCCCGTACTAAACCGATTACAATTCCAAAATTCCTAAATAATGACATGATTAACAATATGTTCATTTTTTTACAGGATGGTAAACCCGTTGAAATTTGCTTCATCGATTGGCAAATAGCAAGATTCGTATCTCCTGTATTGGATTTATTATATTTCTTCTACCTCAGTACAGATGAGGACATGTTAAACAATAAATATGACTTATTTTTAAATGTCTACTATACTGAACTCAAAAATTTTGTTCAACTTTTAGGCAGTGATTTAAATAAATTATATCCGCATGAAATATTTCAAAATGATCTCAAAAAGTTTGGACACTTTGGAGTAGTTTTATGTAGTTTTGCTCTAAATTTCATTTTTGCGAATACTGAAACAGCTCCAGATTTTCAAGAGATGACTAATGCATTCGATGGAAATGGATCTTTACAAAAGTGTTTAGAATTTAAAGATTTAGCAACAAAGAAACGCTTTCAAAAGATAATCCGAGATGTTATTCAGCATGCAGCAAAACGAAATTATATTTGAAATTTAAGTAAATAACTAAGATTATAAATTATATATTTATAATAGCATTAAAAATATGTATAATATTTAAAAACAATAATGTAATTAAAGTCATACTTCAAATATGACATGATCGATTTGTCATTGTAATTAGCATTTAGATATAAACCTTCATTAGAGAAATGAAGTAATTGCTGATTAATAACTTCTATAATATTCGTTCACACAGTGGATTATGTTAAACCACGCCTTAACAAATTTTGTTTTCGCAATTTCACCCATCATGTAATTGTGTTTGAAAAACTTTATGTAATTAAAATTAACATACATCCATTGACTGATGGTATTTTTTTTACTTTTTCGCTGGCGATATAATCTCATTTTTTAAACAGCTGTAATATCTATTTTGCCTAAAAAATATTTTCCATTTCAATAACTTTAAAGATTTATAAAAACTACGAATAATAAAGAAATTATTTCAATAAACTTATGTTTCATACACGGCGCAAATGCTAGGGACGATTTACGGGGGACGGGGTAAAATATTCTTCTGATTCAGGCATGTTTCATTAAATCAAGAATTGTACTACGATTTAACTTTGAAATGTTTATTTATCTATGACAATTTTCTTGTTGATATCGGTACGCATACAACGTCGATGCCGGTACGCATACAACGTTGACGCCGGTACGCATACAACGACAGATCTCTGTTTACATACACGACGACTAATCACAATCGACCTATATAAATATGATATCATCGAGAGCGAATGACGAATCAATGGCACTCTACTCTTATCTTATCTTATGTGCTGTAACGCACTTCCGTTGCATTTGTACGGATTTACACCCTAGTCGCGCCTAAAGAAGTTTTACTTCAAAAATCGACAGCAATGTAGAATGAATGAAAAATTACTACAGTCGATATTATATATTTAATGTCATTTATTATTATTTTGCAATTATTTTAATCTATTTACAAGAATGTTTTTTATAATATTTTTTTATTATCAACAATGACATATCAAATGTTCATTTATCATCAAACTCATGAAAGCGCTTTGATAACAATGATTTAGCAGTTCGTAGATAATAATTAAATATTGTGTAAATATAAATTAATTATCACAATCACTAAGCATATCGTCAACAATATCTATAATCACTTTAATGAATTATATTCCAAGTTTTATACTAGGTACAAAATTTTGGGTATAAAATAATGACTAATATTTTTTTGATTATCAACTATCATGTTTTGAATATAAGTGCTTTTGATGAATGTTTAAAAGTTATTGCAACTTTATTTAAAGTAATATTATTGTTCTATAATATATTCTTTTATATTTTAGATTTTCGAAAAATTATATTAACTCTAGAGGAACTAGGGTCTGCTTGTAACAGTTTTTATTTGAAATTAATATCTTGAGATCTGCTGTGCTAGGTAGCTGTATCTATTCCTCTAACAAATCAAGAATAGTTCTACAACTTTTATTCATACGGTGTTACATCCCAGTTGTACTTGTAACGTGTGTTAAGAAAAGTAGTAACAATAAAATAACGATAATTTATTCTTAACTTATTTTTCAGAAAATTGATTTGTTTTTAAGTAATTCTTTCTTAAATGAAATTATATTATTTGCCCATATCTTACAAACTACAAATTTCACCCAATCCTCATCACTAGAATCTGTATATAATTCTTGTATGTTTCAACTAACCCCAGGTGGTGTTTTTTTCACATTAATCAAGATAAACTATTCAAACAATTTAGCAATCACAAAAATGGTTAGACATTATCAAAAATTAATAAATTTGGAATGAAATAAGATATATAAAACTTAAAATTAGTCGCTAATAATAACTAAAACTGAAAAGTTATGAGAGAAAATTTTTATTTTACATATGAAAAATGAGGGTAAATAGATTAAACTGATGTATAAATGTCGAAATAAATATACCAACCTATGATTGATTATTTGAATAAAAAATATTAAATGTTGAAATTGTCATATTATACGTATAATAATGACTTGTAAATAAATATATGTATACTACGTGTAGACTATCTTAAATTAAACCAGTTCATCATTTTGTCAATACAAGTAAAATGCTTTCTGAATCATTCAAATCGGACGCTCCGTTCATTTAAAAACTGAATTGCCATTTCTGGCACTTTTTGCCATTTTGCATTTTTTAAAATTAATGCTCGTCCCATTTTACTCCGCCCATGGGGTAAAAAGCACCAGGTGACAAATTTTAGAAAAACAGCAAAAAAAAAAACAGTGAATTTAACTGAACATATTCAAGTAGTTTGTTTAATATAATATATAATTTCTCAAAGTCAATTTGGACCTTTGTACCCCGCCCTACCCTTCACATTAATATATGTTAGGAATCAATATATTGCATATATCTTTATACAAATGTATAAGTGTAAACGTATTAGCATTTCATTAAGTTCACCATTTACATCATAAAAAATCGCATCAAGCTTATAAATTTTCATTGTCGAGTCATACATCAAACTATTAATGAATTTGAAGAATGCGCGTATTCATTGTTTGCAAAGGTTAAATCTTCAAATAAAATTACATATAAGTATACGATGACTATTACGGAATTTTTATTGTACAACTAACAGCTCACCACGAAATGAAACATTTGCATAGAAAATTCAAATTCTAAATGAGCATTGTAAAAACACACCCTAGAATGCAACAGGTTTTGCATGAAAGAAAATGTTGAAGTTCAAATCATAGATCAAACATCATATCAAGAAACTTTTCATACATGTGATAAAATGCAAGACTCTTATGGAATAAATACATGTAGGTTACCCATAACGATATCACACATATTCTCATTGGGCATGAAGTTCTGTCTTACAACTTAATCAAGGAATATTTATAGTTGCAACATCAGAGATATAGCTATGAGAACTTGAAATAAATAAGCAAACAATTATCATTCGCAAAATTCAAATCAATTTTATCTGTACTTAAAATAAGCTTTTTGTAACAAAGATACGTGCATAACTTTCTGGGGATCATATCGTAATATTTAGGGGCCAATTCTTCGATAAAATAGACCGTTATATTCGAAACGGCTGAACGTGTCTGTGCCAAAAACTAATCCGCATGACTCCCAATCAATAGGAATTGAATGTTATCTGAATCATTCAAATCGGTTGAACCGCATTATCAAAATCATCGATGAAAAATTGTGTTTGAATACACACACATATATAAATTTTTTATAAGGTACGCCAAAAGGTTCAGAAACCTTTGAAACGTAAAGATACATAAACTTTTTTATTCATAAAAAAATTAAAACGAGTAGTATTGTCAGTATCGAATTAACGAATATATTATTAGATTATGTAACAAAATTGAAGGCCATATCATATAGCATAGCTACATCATTTATAAATTCTGTCAGTAACGCTCGTGCTATTTTCAAATCAACACATATTCTATCAAGAGCTCGTATCTGATAAAAGAATCGATTTTAATAGAGTAAATCACTACTTTAATACATAAATATTCGTATTAATGATTCGTATAACATAAAAATAAAGTGCATCTTAAAATGTTTATTTTATAAATTACTCTTGAACAAGAAATGTGAATAATTGTATACTTGAAGAGACTGGGCAAGAAAAAGAAAATAACAAGTAATGTACAGATAACTTAGAAAATATATACTTTTATTCTTTTTGCAACTTTTGTGAAAACGTTTGAGAACAAAAAATCTGTTAAAAACTCAAAATACAATAGTTTGTTAGTTTATATATATATATTGAAATAATGTTGGCACGCTTGTAGACAGAGAAGTAAAGTTTAGGAGTTTTCGTATTTTATGTTCGTCATATTATATTTACATTCTATTAAACCTAGTTATGCGGTAAAAAAAGAACTTGAAATAATAACCAATTCCTCTAATACCCTTTGTGGCCCAAAAATTGTATTTTTCAATTTGTTTCATGTGTTCAATTTTTTGTTAATTGTTCGACTTTAAGTGTTCGACTAATTGCCATGAGTTACACTTCACACTTTTGATATTATTAAAGTATTCTATGCAATTAAACTATTATAACTATATCGACCAAATATTTTTTTTTAAAGTAAAAATATTTCGAGCATTTTGCATACATTGAACTGCCTTATTTTTAACTTTCCGTAAAGTAATTATGTATTATAATTTTCAAAATGTTTTAAAATAATATTGTAGATCTAAACAAAATCGCGACTTTATCAAACAAGATTGAAAACCACTACTTAACAGGACAAAACTCTACATTGTGTAAAAAAAGTTCAGGTTTTAATATAAATAGATAAAGTACAATAGATTTGACATAGGTATAGATAGTTAATACAAAACAAAAATTTGCTGAATTAACAAATGTGTTTTATTGAAACACGACAGAAATACTATAACAAACTAGCAAACCGGGCAAACTCCGTTTCATTACCAGATGATTTCATTTTATGCAACATTTCGTTTGGTGAATAAAGATGAAGAGAAAAATTGCCTGCTGTTGAAATTGAATAAAAATTTGCACAATACACGTGATTGATTTGAAGATTTCCAATTGAAATGTTAGGAAACGAATAGCTTATTTTTCACAATTCACATAATCAAATATTAAAAAAGTTTGGTGCTCGACTTTTGGCGACTTCAGTAAATTATCAAAAAAATTCAAAATATTTTATTAGCCAATTCAATTTTCAGGTTAACAATTAATGGCTCTGCATTTTAATTACTAACTTTATATTATAGGGTAAAAGTATGGCGTTACTACAAGATCATGTACAAAAGCTGTTCAGAACATCATTCTGGAACAACAAATAACTGATTATAACATAGAAGTAACACCAGGTTCAAATGCAGGTGATAACTATGGAAGTACTATATATCGAATACAAGTAAAAGGTAGAAGAATTAATGGAGATACTACATTAAGCCTTATTTGCAAAGTGCCAATAGCAACTTCTAAGATATCACAATCACTGGTTTTAAAAGAGAGATACACGCCTATAAAAATTTATTAAAATACTTAAAACAGTTTCAAGAAGAAAAAATATTCAATTTATAGATGGTTTTAATACTTCCATAAAATGTTATGATGCTGACGACACAATTGGCAAGGAATACATAATCTTGGAAGATTTAAAACCAGAAGGCTTTACAATGCTGGCTAAAGATGTCTATATTGACAAGGTCCACGCACAGCATGTGGTAAAAGAATTAGCAAAATTTCATGCTATCAGCTTTGCAATGAAAGATCAAAAACTCGAAGAATTTAAACGGTTATCAAATTTACCAGAAGTTATTTTCGAAATTATAGGAGAACAGCCACTTAACAATTTGTGCAAATTGGCTTTAGAGAGAGCATTCAACTTGTGTACAGAAAAATATAAAAATAATATTCAGAACCTACTAGACAATTTGCCTGATATTCTGAGAGACAGTATGAGTGGAAAAGGATCGGAAGATTATTCAGTTATCACTCATGCAGACTGCTGGAAAAATAATATGATGTTTAAATACGAGGTAATATTCATTTTATATTTTAAAATTACACAGACATGCAGTTAATTCCCTAAATTTACTGTAATTTTTCTTCAAATTTGAACTAAACTATTTGAGCTGAATCTGCAAGTTTTACATATATTTTATTGATGCTAAAATGATGAATTAATTTGCAATCACTTTTTCCAATATACTTACTCGTTGGTTTTACAAGAGTTTTAATTAAGGTTTTTAATGCAATATTGAGTATAAAATGCAATAAGTGTGAACACTAAGCAATCATTATTCTGGAAAAATGGTATATAGCCATTATCACTGTTTATCAAAAGAGCATTATTCTGAATATTTCATACTAGAACTATATACTTCCATCAAACTTTTGGCATTACTACCAGATCATGAACAAAACCATAACCAAAGCTAATAATATTGACAATGAGTATATCGCAATCTACCTATCATTTTATTATATCGCATTCAGCTATCATTTTATTTTGTTAAACAAAGGAGTTTCAAACCTTCACAGAAAAAGTCACGGATTCTAATAAATATAAATGAATCATATATGAATTCATCAAAAATTACTAATAAAAGGGCATGCGAGACTGCGAGAGTAAGGTTGCCGCAGGTTGATTTCAAATTTGTCCAGATTTATTATGAATTACAGGCACCGTTTATCCTAGGTTTTATCAATTGTTTATATATATTATATATATTAATAAATATATATATATATATATATATATACAAAATTCTATACCAATCGCTAATTCCCAAACTTGAATATACTCAAATTCAGAAACCAGAAAGATGTAATAATATTTTTGAAACAACATCTTTGTCTTGAGGCTTTTATAATTTATTAGTTAGCTATACAACTAATGGCACCACTTTGATTTGCATTTCAATTTGACTGTTCCAATATTAGAAAATTCTTTATAGTTCTAAAAAACACCAATTGATTATTATGAATATTTTTCAGTGCTTTCTATACTTCCTTGAGTTTGTAAGCAATTTTATAATTTGTAGACGTACATGATGATCATGTTGGTTTTGTTTTTCTATATAATTTGAGTTCAGAAGGCTGATAGTTAGTAATATAAGTTTTTAAATCATTACATGAAATGTTCAAATATTCACTAATAATTATTTAATTTTTTTTATTATAGAATGACTGCCCAAAAGAAGTGCGTCTGTTCGACTGGCAAATAACACGCTTAGCTTCACCTGCCATGGACTTATGTTATTTTTTCTACATAAGTGGTAACGACGAATTAATTGAACATCACTTTGATAATATAATGGATTTATACTACGAGCAACTCGAAAAGTCCGTCAAATTACTAGGAAGTGACATTAACCGCCTGTATCCTCGATCGATTTTGGACACTGATCTCAAGAAATTTGCTAGATTTGGAATTATATTTTGCATATTTGGAATGAATGTACTTCTTGCTGAAACTCCTCCCGAAATGAGCGATATGTTTATAAAAGCAAGCGAAGAAAATTCAAAAAATGAATGCCTAAGTAATCTTAATGCCAAAGCACAAGAAAAATTTGCCAATAGAGTCAATATTATAATCAAACAAGCCAAAAGTAAAGGTTTTGTTTAACATAATACAAAATAGCAATTAGAAGGTTTGGAAAGGTTTAATGATAACTAATTTTGTACGTAAGTTAAGTGAATATAAAATAATTATATTATCATTTTTATTGGGCGCGTATTATATCGAACTTGAAAAAATTGCTTTGACATTGATCAAGAATAATTTCTTAAAATCATTAGAAAAATTGCCATTCAAATTGATTTCACAATCTAATATATTATTGAGATTAATATAATTGTAGGATTTAAAAAAAATATTATTTGACCAAATAAATGCAAATTTCCACTTTGAAACATTTACATCCAACATGCAGACGTAGGTATTAGACTAGACCAATAGCGCCTATTTGACAACACAATTATGAAAATCGTTCAAATACAATATAAATTAAGAATTAAATATTCAAATTATCATTTTGGAGTTTATTTCCTGCATTTATTTTTATCATATTGTATCAATAAAAGTATAAATAAAAGACTGTTAATTTGCTAACATAATCTCACATCAGTTTTTCATTATAATTAGTTTAAAATACACTCTGTACACATTCTGTTGCTTTCCTTTACATAGTTTATAATCATGAAAAAATGTTCTTCTGCGGCAAAAAATGCTAATTATATAGGCTCCTTCCATTGCATCTACATTGCAATATAAAAATACATATAGTATTCGTACATGTAGTGTTCGTTTTACATGTACATATTACAATTTTAATAAAAGCATATTTCAAGTCACGGAATTCATTGTTAATAGAAAAAGCAATTAAATTAAATACTATATAATTGAGTTCTAATGAAAATTTGTCTCTATTTGTTGCCAACTTTTAACATACCATAATACAGTATGTCAAATATGACTTGTCCAGGTATATCAAATAATTTTGTGAGTTTTTAACTCATTTGTTGTTGACTTATACCTATGACTATATGCTTAATTTAAACTTTAAGGTTTAGAAAAATACTTTTATTAATTCGACCTACAGTAACAAAATAAATTGTTCTTCGAAGTAAAAAGAGTTCCAGGGATTTTTAATTTCAAATTATAATAAAAGTGTTGACACAAAAGTATTGGGCTTGGACCACCCTTAGTAATTATATATTGTATTTTAAAATAAAATTTAAGCTTTTTCTTCAAGCTTAAAAATTGAAACTAAAATTTTTGAATGCAGGATGTATAATCATTGAATTGCTAAATTGCCTAAAATTTTCGGTTGTATGTATTTTTTAATGCAACATTAAAAAAAATAAAAACAAAAAAAAATGTCCAAGAATATAAAAAAGGTGAAAGGTGAAGCCCGACATCAGGCAACTTTGATATCAAATTTCCACTTGAGTTATAGATCTCAAATATAGCCTCAAGTAAAAATCGCCTCTCGTGGGTATAGTTGCATATATAACTAGTTGGTTTGGTATTTAGCCTTGAGGCAAGTTACATGTGTAAATGTGTTGAGGCAAGTTACACCCGAAATGTGTAAATAATCGACTTAATCAAAAAAAATGTGTAAATAATATACTTCATTAATCCTACTTTAAAAAAAAACGATAATAATTTTAGCAAACTTTGACGAATTTTTAAAATTAAACTACTTGTCGTTAGGCCGTAATATTACAGTAAGTTCTATAAGACCATGATGTATATCGCCAAAAAAATTTCCATGAATTTTTTTTTCAACAGTTAATTACAAGAAAACGGCTCGGTAGATTTTCACCTAAAATTAATCAGTACCATTCCCAACTAATATCTTTCGAACAGTTTTTGATATTTTAAAATCGGTTCGGTAGGATGAGCTTAAATGTCGACGAAAATTTAACACTTTTTTTCAACAGTTAATTACAAGAAAACGGCTCGGTAGATTTTCACCTAAAATTAATCAGTATCATTCCCAACTAATATCTTTCGAACAGTTTTCGATATTTTAAAATCGGTTCGGTAGGATGAGCTTAAATGTCGACGAAAATTTAACACTTTTTTTCAACAGTTAATTACAAGAAAACGGCTCGGTAGATTTTCACCTAAAATTAATCAGTATCATTCCCAACTAATATCTTTCGAACAGTTTTCGATATTTTAAAATCGGTTCGGTAGGATGAGCTTGAATGTCGACGAAAATTTAACACTTTTTTTCAACAGTTAATTACAAGAAAACGGCTCGGTAGATTTTCACCTATAATTAATCAGTATCATTCCCAACTAATATCTTTCGAACAGTTTTTGATATTTTAAAATCGGTTCGGTAGGATGAGCTTAAATGTCGACGAAAATTTAACACTTTTTTCAACAGTTAATTACAAGAAAACGGCTCGGTAGATTTTCACCTAAAATTAATCAGTATCATTCCAACTAATATCTTTCGAACAGTTTTTGATTTTTTAAAATCGTTCGGTAGGATGAGCTTAAATGTGGACGAAAAGTTTTTTTCAAATTACAAAGAAACGGCTTGGCAGATCGTTGCACAAAACTGACAAACGATAGTCCTCACCAAAATACATCAAATGGCTTTTAAATTTATAAAATCGGTTCAGGCGTTTTTGAGAAAACGTCGATCAAAAGTCTAATTTTGACAAATGCCAAAAAGACCATACTGATTTTTGCAAACTTTGACGAATTTTTAAAGCTGAACCAGTTGTCGTAGGGCCGTAATATTTTAGTATGATCTAGAAGACTATGATATCTATCGTCAAAAAAATAATCATAAAAATCGTCGAAATTTTTTTTTTAAAAACTTTATTACAAGAAAAACGGCCCGGCCGATCTCTACCAAAAGCTAATCAGCACGATTCCCAACCAATATCTTTCGAACGGTTTTTGAATTTTCAAAATCAATTCAGAATTGCGGGCTAAAACGTAGACAAAAAATTTTTCACTTTTCTGCCATTTATGAAGAAACGGCTTGGCCGATCGTCGCACAAAACTGACAAACAATAGTTTCTCGTCGAGATACATCGAATGACTTTTAAATTTTTGAAATCGACCCAGCCGTTTTCGAGAAAACGTCGATTTACGGCAAAAAATCTGTTCACATACACACACACACACACACACACAGACACACACACACACACATACTTTTTCCAAATTTGGTCTCATTCGATTCAGAATGGCTTGAAACGTCGAGAAAACATAAAATTAGCGAATCGGGTTTTTTGATGAAAACATAAACTTCTCCTTCGGGAAGTTAATAAAAAATGTCAGCAAATACTTCGAGTATAAATAATTAGTCATAACTGGACTGGACAACTACTGGGTTGCCATTCATTCAAGATCCATATAATAAAAAGAGTCCTAAAATTACTGAATGTCCTAAGAGTGACAGATTGTAATTGAAATAAATAGATAGTTACAACATGGTTACAAGTGTTACAATGGTAAAGCCGTTTTGAAGGAGTACGGAAACAAACTTTGTGACACAAAAATTTCATATATAAGATTAAAACTTTAAAAATAATGTAAATTCCCATTGTATCTACCACATAAGAGATTGAAAACTAGCTGTAAGTGGAATTCTGTCTTAAGGCAATTAAGGCATCGCGCCTTAAGGCAAATTGCTAGAACTTCCCGTACCAAAAATTATTATTTTTTTAAAAACGATTAACATTTTTGAAAAAATTTTACTTCGAAAAAATTAGTTTTCTTCATTTTGACACATTTTGGAAATTCTGAACTTTATTTTCAAAGCAATCGTATTGCTTGAACTGCATAGAGACGAAATGTCAAAGCGCGCAAGTGCCGCGCCGCCGTCTAACGCATAAGCATTGGTACGGAACCCATAGAAATGTAAAAAAAAAATATACTTATTGTAATATAATATACTGATAATTTGATGTGCATATGTCTAGTAATCATTTTTAACCGCCGAATGGCATTTTTTTTACTTTTTTTTTATTACTTTTTTTCAATAGATCTCCGAAACCGCTAGACCCGCCTTCATGAAAATTTGATCAATTCTTGATCTTGTCAATACAAGTGAAATGTTTTTTGAATTATTCAAATCGGACGCTTCGTTCTCTTAAAAACTGAGTTACCGTTTTCGGCACTTTTTGCCTCGTATCTTCGGAACGACTAAACCTGCCTTCGCCAAAAACTAATCAGCACGTCTCCTTATTAATACGAATCAAATGTTTTTTGAACTTTTCAAATCGGTTGATCCGTGTGCCCGAAATCGTCGACGAAAATTTGTATCCGCACACACACACATACATCCATTTTTTCTAAGGTATGCCAAAATATTCAGAAACCTCTGAAACGTAAAGATATATGAAAATTTTCATTTTCAATTTTTTTGCGATTACTATAATTTGCCCTACGGGAAGTTAATAACTAAGTAAAGACTATACTTACATTATTGAATTATATAATATTTTAATATTTTGACGCATACACCGCTGATATCGTAATCAATGTTTATGAATTGAAGGCCGGCAAATCATACAAAGTTATCAACCGATGATATCATACATCAGTAACACTGAAACTTTTAGTAATAAATAATATTAGAAATAGATTATGACATATTTTTTTACTTTTATCATTTTACCTAATTTTCAAGGAGGCAATATTTTTGAAGTTATAACAGAAGTAACTGCATTTTTGCACAATGCAATTAGTTTTTTAGTTTCAATATAAACCAATTAATTTACGTATTTTTTATTAAGTATGGTTTAATAGAATTTTTGTAATTTTATATTTTTTTATTTTTTTGTGAATTCTACTAAACATAAATTATTATATATTTTAACCCTATATTTTATAATATAAGCAGAGAGGCATTTCAAACCCATACTTAAAAATCTATGAAATCGATCTAGTTGTATACGATAACCTATGAACTATTGAAATCCTAAATTATGATTAATATAAAATTCTGAAAATACATTTGGCCTAAAAGTGTTTCAACAATGCTATTGATCGAATCGAAATACTTTTAACTCATCTTTTGTTATTTGACGCATATTTTGAGAATCGTTAATTTCGATATACAGTTACAAGACAGAACGAAATTGCCTTCTGTTGCGAAATATTT